ATTGCAGGATCAGTATTATTTTGTTGCTGTACCACATATTGTAAATATCTTATAGCTTGGTTCTAAATAGGGGTCAAAAAAAATTTTTTTTTTTTTAAATAATAGCTAGAAAAAAAATTTGTAGATACCAACTAAAAAATTAATAACCAACTTGTGTGACATTTTCTGGTGCATTTGAGTGATCATATTTCAATAATGCTGGCATTAGATTTCTTGGATTAAGATTTGGTTGTCGCATCCAGACATTAACAGTTTCATATGGTGCATGTTCCATTAATATTGGTGCAAATTTATAGAATGTATCATTAGAAGCCTTTAACGTAAACAAAAAAAATAAATAAAATTTAGATTTGGGTTATTTATTAAAATATTTGGAAAATATTTATTTTATTAAAATACCTCTTTACTCAACACATCTAAAGCTTGTTTATAATCAGATTCATAAATCCAATGTGAAATGAATTTTTCATAATCACCTATTAAAGTAGCATAGAAAAGCAATTCTTTCACATGTCCATGACTAGCAATAAGATTATATGTTGTAGGTCGATCTAAGTGTGACTATATAAAAATTTCAAATATTAGTTTATTTAATATCATACATTTATTTAAATTGTTGATTATTGGTATTTTTTTTTACTTTATTTTGTTCAAGAAATTCTCTGAAATCTTCCTCTAAAAATTTTAGATCCTCCTTATAATCATTGACATCCTCAAATCCAACACTTGATAAGGTTGAAGAATCTTCTAACATATTAAGTTTGTTTAAATATATTTCAACAAGCCAAGTTGAAATCATTGTTTTTTGAGTCAGATCCTAAATTAAAATAACAGTAATAATGATGATAATAATAATGATTAGCATCAGTGTTAATTATATTTATAAGTTATATAAGCAAGTATGTTTAATGGGATTACCATTCGTCTTAACTTATTCAGTTTATTCAATAAATAAGTTCTTAAAGCATCTCTTTGATCACATTCAATAAATTTAAGTGCCACCTCTTCAAATGGCACAGTAGATTGGGCATAATAATTGGCAGATTGTGTGAATTGTCCTTGTGAGAAATAATAATCTGCTTGTGTAGTTAAAACTTTGTCGCATTGAGCTTGATTCTGTTTTATTTTAATATCAAACATCATTAACAATTAAACTTCAAAATCATATTTTCCCGGTCATCATTTTTCTCCAGTCATCTTTGTGTTAATATTTACCTTACAGTATTTCAATGCTATATCAAACTTTTGTTTTTCCAAATATAACTTCCATACATCTCTATCCTCTTTATTTATAATAAGTTCAAATATCGATGAATCTGTATAAACCCAAAAAGTGTTTTTAACAGTATCCACTGTCATTGTACGAACTTGTTCACCTGCTTTCTATAAATTTATAAATATGTGGTTTTTAAAAATTA